ACAATAATAGAAATTCAAATTTGAAGCAATTCAAATTTAATCTAACATCCATTTTAAACAAATAAAGCAAATATATTCTTATAACAATAACACCAATTTCATCCATAAAGCAATAAAGCAACTCCAATTTTCCCGTAACAACAAAGTCGGATTGTTAAACTTGTAGTTTTGGTCCCTAAAACCAAATTGTTAAACTTCTGGATTTGTTTGTTAAAATAAAAACATAATGAGAAATCAAAACATAATGAGAAGAAAAATATCTAAAAAGCTTCAAAACATAAAATACACAATGGGGATTATTTCAGATCACAGTGAAGAAGATAAGTAAAACCCAGAAAAACCTAGAACAAAACACAATGGTTGAAAATAAATAGTTGTAAAATAAATTATTATTAAAAGTAGAGAACATATCATAAACATTTTGTGTTGCAAACCAAAAAGTATGGATAATTTAAGGAAAGAGTAAAGGATACAGAGAACATGTAGGATTTAAAGCTCAAATATAATTTATAAGTTGCAAATAAGAATAAAGACAGAAATAACAAAAATGATTTTGTTTGCATATACATAATTAAAATTAAAACCTAATTGTATAAACAAAGCATATCCTTTTTCAAATGGATGCAGCCAACGATTCTGATTCTGATAGTGGAAATTGTTTAGGGTTGCTACTTTTTATCGAATCTTCGAGACATTTTGGATTGCCTATAATAAAATCATCAATAACATGAGATACTTTGGAAAAGGATGGACATGAAACAATTTCAATAAAAACAGGAAACAATGAAAAATGATATGCAAACAACTAAATTAACTTAAATAATCGAACTAAAAATAAAAGAAGAAAAAAAATCAAGTTATAAGTTGTAGGTGAAACGAATTGCATGAATCGAAGGATATTCAGTATGAAAACGAAAAAATTGCAAGCGTAAAACTTACTGGTATGCAAATATTTTTTTATGGTTGCATATCAATTGCATATGCCTGACTCTTATAGTGGGATGGACGAATGGTTTTTATTTTTTGCATTAGTAAGCCAATGTCTTTATGTTTTCCACTGTAATTGTATTTATGCAGCTCACGTTGAAAACCGAAAAAGTTGTCCTATCTTCAAAAAAAATGCAACGTCATGCATGAAAATTCATTCAAGAGATTGAAAAAATCTGACAACTAACATTTATCCAACCCATAACCGCATCTGCAAATTCCATCAAAATAAATGTTATGTTTAAGCTTTCCAATATTAAGCATTCATCAATACTAGAATCAAATAATGTTGATTTTCCGCACCTCGAGGTGCATATTCTATATCACTCATGTGGAATGACATAAATGTAATAATCAATTACTAAATTTTGGGTTTGACTTAACTAAACTAATTAGAATAAGAATATATGCTTAGAAGCATGAGTTGAGAACAACCCATATGTTGGGTTAGAATAAGGAGTTGTTCACCCAACTGATAAAATTAGAGAGTTATATTAAATAAATTTGAAAGGAGTTCCTACCTAAATAACAGAGTCTTGTGTAATCTACCTACCACTTACTTACCTCAAAGTGAAATATGGATCTCAATCTACTAGAAAGTCTTCCAACAGGAATTTTTATTTGAAATGTTGAGGATCATTTGTTTTGAGTAAAATAGTGGAAGCGCATTCAAGTGAAGACCTAATTGAATATATTTTTAATGATACTTATATATTCACAATTACTGACTTGAAAAATATTTTGAGACAATTCTTAAAAAGGAAAACTGTGTTGGATAAATTTTTTGGATTAACACCGAAGTTCGAGGATTGTCCTAAACATGAAAAAGTTATGTGACTTAAAGAAGCTTGTTCCCGAAGAGGAAACGCCTATATTCGCTCAGACGAGTGAGTGATATTCTTATAAGAAGCATATTGGCGCCTTAGAAACTATATGCCTCATGTTGGCTACCATAAACTTTGAATTGCAAAAGCAACATGAAAATATGGCAGTGTTCGATAATGATCAAAACCCTGAAGATGCTTTATCAAGAGAAATCTAGATAACATAGGTTTGAAATATCCAAAGCCTTTTCTAAAGGCAAGATAGTTGAGGGAGCTCTTTAGGTTCCCATGTACATAAGATGATTGGGTATTTGGGAAATCTTAACATATTTGATTTTTCCTTCTGGAAAAGGTTATGATTGTTTTGATCATCCAATCGTTTCTATAGAGCTTCATCGAGTTTCTCTTAAACTTCAATATGAATGACATGGGAAAATATTTTTTTAAGATTCTAGGTATATTAAGAACTAGTAAGAGACTCGTGCGTTTGCACGGGTCGAGCAAAGTCAACAAAATATTAAATAAATATTCAATAATATATTAATGTAGTTTATTATTTTGTAGTAGTTGTTAAATGTAAAAAAATATATTAATATATGGTGTATCACACACACACACATAGGCACACACACACACACCTCTAGCTAGATTTCAGATCTTGATTATGAAGATTTGTAATTATTGAAACTAAGCGTTCTTGAAGGTTTTATAAATGTTTTCAGGAAGCTTGAAAGATTGTAGCTGTTGTAGTGACGAATTCCATTGAAAAAAATGAGGTTCTTCTCTCCAGGTTAACCTTGGTACTGCGGTGTAGAAGCCTATAGACAAGGTATGAGTTCTTCTAAATCTTTGGAAAGTTCATCGCTCAAGAAATCAGTAGGTTCATAATTGATTTTCACACACAGAGACTTGGAGAAGATTGGTGAAGCTGGAAGATTCAAGAAGCGAGAATCATGTAAATATTTTGTAGAAGAATTTGAAATTATGTTGTATACAACTCAAGATCCAGATAGGATATTTATGTAACTCAGAATTATTGTGGAATGTTGATTGTATGAACTCGAATAATATTTGTCAAAACATAGTGGAAGAAAATCTTTCAAAGGAAAATCATTGGAGAGTAGAGTAGGCTCCTGCGAAGATGATTGACCCGAACCACTATACATCTCGGTGAAAAATAGGTGCCCGAGTTGTTAATGATCTACTTGTTGCTACTAAGGAGGCCTTTGACAACACTCTAGAGAAGGTCATCTTACTCAACCCTAGAATTCTTTTTTTTTACTAACGGAGCAGACGTATGGAGAAATCTGTTGTAGATGGGCATCTTATTTTAGTTGATTTATTTCTAAATTTTCTTATTTTGTGCGTGTTAATTTTGTCTTCTTCGACTGTGCAGTTTGTTCCAAATCCTTTTTTTTAAAATATGAATCTAATACTTAGGAGTTATGACAATGTCTTTGTCTCAATCTCAATTTGTGTATATTTCTATAATGTTTTCAACTATATTATGTGCTTTCATTAATGGTTTATGCATATTGGCTTATGAGAACATTCATAGCCAAATGTGTCTCCAATTGACCCCTTTCTCTGCTTTTAAATATGTAAGGAATATGGATTGCTGGGATGTTCATCTCGAGGTTGTCTAATAGACTGAGAAAAGGTCTCGACATTGTCGTGGTGGTGTTTTGAACTTCACCTTCATTTACCTTAATTGGGTATGAAGTGCATGAATGCTTCTATTTATTTCATATATTCATTCTTCTTATTGTTATAAACCATTCTATTCTTCAATTTTAACGTGTTTAGCTAACCATCGTATTTATAAATATAAGTACTCAACAAAGTCAATAAAAATTGTATTTGTGAAGTGAGTAGTTTATCGAAAAATAAAAAATATTTAACCATGACTTGTCAAAACTCTTAAATTTGGACATTCCTCTTCTCCCACTCCCTCCTCTTGAGACACTTACGTTTTTACCACTATTATCAACCTTCAAATATTTTATCAATTAAAGATACGTGGGTCTCACATTCGTATGGGCTTCACCTAAATTAATAATTCCTTATTCTAACAAGAGTGTATTCTTGTCTTCGCCATCAATTTTCAACTAAATACTCTGCAGATCATCAATAATCTTTCGAAATTTAGTCAATTTCCCGACCATGGATTTTTTTCACTACCATTCAAAATGAGGAAAGTTGTTGTCTCACACACAACATGTTAGCCAAAGATTTGGTCATATGCGATGGTTGAATCTTTGCCCATATATAAGCAACAGTCATCTGCTCGTGTTAGGTTTGCATCCATTGATGCCTCATCCTCCAATGGTTCAACACAGTTCTGTTGAATTAAGATTACTTGCATCATCTCTTTCCACAATTCAAAATTGTTGTCTCTAGTAAACTCTTTGATATCTAATTTAGAATTCATGGTGGTCACTTATAAAATAAATGAGACCAAAAGAGTATTTAGATTACAAAAAGTGTGTCCATCTTTAACGAATTTTTACCCATAATAGTATCAAACCAATAATAATATTTGGTTTGAGAAATCGTTAACACAAAACTTTCTCATAATTTCTATAAACCATATTAATCTGCAATTTTAACTTGTTTACCTAATAATCATCACATTTTATAAAATGAGTATTTAACATAGTCTCTAAAAAATACACTAGTCCACTTTAGAAAGAAAAAATTAGTCCACAAATAAAAAAATAAAAAAAGAGTGTTACATATTACATCACATTCTCAAAAATAAAATATATAAAAAAAATCCGTCTCAAGATGTTATGTGGTTGTCATGAAATACTTTTCTATAAATATAAATGTGAAATGTGAGAGAATGAATCAAATAAGAAAATGGAACTTGTCAATTGTTATAATAAATAATAGATTTTGACTCTTGCATTGTTATAAATAATAAATAATATTATTCAAAGGAAAATATTGAAAAGTGTTTATTCACGTAGAGATGGCATGGATGTGATGAAGTAGTTAGTATTAAATAGTATTTGTGAACCAACCAACCAAAGGAGAATTGGTCAGAATTGTGAATAAGGAAAATGTTGAGGAGCGAATTAGCAAGCCGCGGACATGAGTGACCATACACAACAAACTATATATATATATATGCATGATATCGTCTCTTCATTTCACATCAAGTTCAATCATCAACACTTAAGTTACATGGCTTATAGAATGATCACTACTAGTTTTGTTGTTACATTAGTGCTGCTATCCACAATATGTGATGCACAGTTGTCTTCTACATTTTACGACACTACATGCCCCGATGCACTAACCACCATTAGAACTGCCATTCGTACTGCTGTCTCTAAAGAGCGTCGCATGGCTGCATCTCTCATTCGCCTTCATTTTCATGACTGCTTTGTGCAAGGCTGTGATGCATCAATTTTGCTGAATGACAGTACCACAATCGAGAGCGAAAAGACTGCACTTCCAAATCTTAACTCAGTAAGGGGATTTCAAGTCATTGATAATGCAAAATCACAGGTAGAAAAAGTATGTCCAGGAGTTGTGTCTTGTGCAGACATAGTAGCTGTAGCAGCACGTGATGCATCATTCGCTGTAAGTTTACAATTTGCATTGCATGCTTAATATTACATCCTTTTGATTTGCATTGCATGCTTAATATTACATCCTTTTGATTTGCATTGCATGCTTAATATTACATCCTTTTGATTTGCATTGCATGCTTAATATTACATCCTTTTGATTTGCATTGCATGCTTAATATTACATCCTTTTGATGTAAGTTTACAATTTGCATATCATGCTTAATATACTAGTATTTTGATGTGTATATTAATAATTTGATATTTACAAACAGGTAGGTGGTCCATCATGGACTGTCAAACTTGGACGAAGAGACTCTACTACAGCAAGTAAAACTTTGGCCAATACTCACCTTCCATTATTTACGGACGATCTTCAAACTCTTATATCTAAATTTACAATTAAAGATCTTACCGCCAAAGACATGGTTACTCTATCTGGTAAATTTCATTTGTTTCAAACATGCATATTTTTATATTTCACCAAACATTTACTTATATGAAAAATTAATATTGAACGACCATTTGATTTTAAATTAGGTGCGCACACAATCGGACAAGCTCAATGCTTTACATTTCGTGATAGGATATACAACAATGCTAGTGACATAGATGCTGGATTCGCTAGCACTCGCCAACGTGGTTGTCCGTCTACCAGTTCCACTTCAAACAATCAAAAGTTAGCAGCACTGGACTTGGTTACACCAAATTCTTTTGACAACAACTACTTTAAGAATTTAATTCAAAAGAAGGGTCTTCTACAATCTGACCAAGTTCTTTTCAGCGGAGGATCTACGGATTCTATCGTTTCTCAATACAGCCAAAATCCTACAGCTTTCAAGTCTGATTTTGCTGCTGCTATGATCAAGATGGGAGATATTCAACCATTAACTGGATCTGCCGGAATCATAAGAAGTATTTGCAGTGCTCCCAACTAATTTTACAAATTCTTTCTTCATCGCAAACAATCAATTGCTATTGCTATTAATTAAATGTTGTGTTTAGTTTTCAACTTCATTATTAAACTTATTCTTTTATTTATTTATGTTTTTCTTGTGTATTCAATTGTAAAGTGTTAAATAGTCATTTATTATTGTATGTAATTTTACTATGAATGTATTCTTAGATGTTCATTTAACAAAAATTTCTAGGTTTATATTATGCTTTTAAATTGTAATATTTATATCCTATAAATATAACTCGTGTATTATTGTAAAAGTTACACTCATAAGTATTATACAAATCTATTTTAGATCTTTCTCGTCTCCATGAAAGAGGTGAGTTGTGATTGTAAATATTATGAATAGTGAAAAGGAGAAAGCGGCTAGGGTTTCCATTAGAATGGCAAAAAGTATCAAATACAAGGCTTGCTAAGTTAATATTTTGTAAAGTATAAATAGACTATAATACTCTTAGCCCAATTATTATAAAATCACATTTCTCATTATCTAAAATCTCCCTTCAAACTCATGATTCATGAAACATTGAGAGTTTGTCAACCAAGAAAGGAAAAACGTTCGATGGAATGAGTTTTTGTGAATAAATCAGCAACATGTGAAGTTGAAAAAACAAACGGCAAAGTAATGGTGCCATGCTGAAAGTGATGAAGAGTGAGATGGCAATCAATCTCGATGTGTTTTGTACCATGATATATTGAGTTTTGAGCAATTTGAATGGCACTCTTATTATCACAATACATAGGAGTCGGTCAAGAAAGTAAGACGCACATATCCGAGAGTAACCGACGCAGCCAAACTATTTTCAGCGGTGGTAGAAGCCATTGCACGATACTCTGCTTTTGTAGATAATTAATCTAGATAAATTGATTAACACATATATGTCCAAAAAAAGAACCATATATATTTATTCTTAACCAAAATGTGATTGCAAAGTGATCCTCCTGAAATAAAACTCAATTTATTTATCAAGTTTGTTTTTCAAATCTCATATAAAAAGAGAAACAAAAATTAAAGTTAAAATGAGTGACATCAAATATATAATTTGTGTAGAAACAAAAACTAATTTCTATATAATAAATAAATAACAAGTGAAATTTTTAACTATCTATAGAAATATACAATATAATACAAATCCAAAAGAAAAATAAGATAAGACTAACAACAACAAAAATAAATGATGAATGATACACATTCTAAACTGCGTTGGGACAGACATGATTAAGAATGTGAAAAGATGCATCGGTCCTTTATAACCTATGAAAATAGGTATCATTAACGTTATTTTACATTTATTACTTTATTTTTTATTAATTTATATTTCCAAAATCCTAACTTACCACTATTACGCTTATTACTATCTAACATATCTTTTGTTGAATGAACCTAAAAGCAATTTCCTCATCTATTTGTTGTTTTTAATTTCACACGCTTTTCTCTTGAAAAATAATCAATTTAACATAATAGAATGTCAACAACAATTTTATCTGATTCATATTTTTCTGTACAAAAAAGAACCTCTAAATGATATATCTACACTTGATGCAATAAGAACCATACTTTTCTATAGAACAATTATCATAAAACCTAAATTATTTATGTAGCTTTGATGCACCAACAACAATAAATCAATTCTCATAACAGTAACAGAATCAAAGATAAGGCCACAAAGTAATGAAACCATTCTTCTAAAGCCATAAAGCCACAAACTAATGCAACCATTCTCGTAATAAAGCCATGAAATCATTCTCATAGAAGCATCACTTTCATGAAATAATAAAGCCATAAACTACATTCGTTTCTCTATAACAAAATTAATAGTATTCTTATAACAATAATAGAAATTCAAATTTGAAGCAATTCAAATTTAATCTAACATCCATTTTAAACAAATAAAGCAAATATATTCTTATAACAATAACACCAATTTCATCCATAAAGCAATAAAGCAACTCCAATTTTCCCGTAACAACAAAGTCGGATTGTTAAACTTGTAGTTTTGGTCCCTAAAACCAAATTGTTAAACTTCTGGATTTGTTTGTTAAAATAAAAACATAATGAGAAATCAAAACATAATGAGAAGAAAAATATCTAAAAAGCTTCAAAACATAAAATACACAATGAGGATTATTTCAGATCACAGTGAAGAAGATAAGTAAAACCCAGAAAAACCTAGAACAAAACACAATGGTTGAAAATAAATAGTTGTAAAATAAATTATTATTAAAAGTAGAGAACATATCATAAACATTTCGTGTTGCAAACCAAAAAGTATGGATAATTTAAGGAAAGAGTAAAGGATACAGAGAACATGTAGGATTTAAAGCTCAAATATAATTTATAAGTTGCAAATAAGAATAAAGACAGAAATAACAAAAATGATTTTGTTTGCATATACATAATTAAAATTAAAACCTAATTGTATAAACAAAGCATATCCTTTTTCAAATGGATGCAGCCAACGATTCTGATTCTGATAGTGGAAATTGTTTAGGGTTGCTACTTTTTATCGAATCTTCGAGACATTTTGGATTGCCTATAATAAAATCATCAATAACAGGAGATACTTTGGAAAAGGATGGACATGAAACAATTTCAATAAAAACAGGAAACAATGAAAAATGATATGCAAACAACTAAATTAACTTAAATAATCGAACTAAAAATAAAAGAAGAAAAAAAATCAAGTTATAAGTTGTAGGTGAAACGAATTGCATGAATCGAAGGATATTCAGTATGAAAACGAAAAAATTGCAAGCGTAAAACTTACTGGTATGCAAATATTTTTTTATGGTTGCATATCAATTGCATATGCCTGACTCTTATAGTGGGATGGACGAATGGTTTTTATTTTTTGCATTAGTAAGCCAATGTCTTTATGTTTTCCACTGTAATTGTATTTATGCAGCTCACGTTGAAAACCGAAAAAGTTGTCCTATCTTCAAAAAAAATGCAACGTCATGCATGAAAATTCATTCAAGAGATTGAAAAAATCTGACAACTAACATTTATCCAACCCATAACCGCATCTGCAAATTCCATCAAAATAAATGTTATGTTTAAGCTTTCCAATATTAAGCATTCATCAATACTAGAATCAAATAATGTTGATTTTCCGCACCTCGAGGTGCATATTCTATATCACTCATGTGGAATGACATAAATGTAATAATCAATTACTAAATTTTGGGTTTGACTTAACTAAACTAATTAGAATAAGAATATATGCTTAGAAGCATGAGTTGAGAACAAACCATATGTTGGGTTAGAATAAGGAGTTGTTCACCCAACTGATAAAATTAGAGAGTTATATTAAATAAATTTGAAAGGAGTTCCTACCTAAATAACAGAGTCTTGTGTAATCTACCTACCACTTACTTACCTCAAAGTGAAATATGGATCTCAATCTACTAGAAAGTCTTCCAACAAGAATTTTTATTTGAAATGTTGAGGATCATTTGTTTTGAGTAAAATAGTGGAAGCGCATTCAAGTGAAGACCTAATTGAATATATTTTTAATGATACTTATATATTCACAATTACAGACTTGAAAAATATTTTGAGACAATTCTTAAAAAGGAAAACTGTGTTGGATAATTTTTTTGGATTAACACCGAAGTTCGAGGATTGTCCTCAAACATGAAAAAGTTGTGTGACTTAAAGAAGCTTGTTCCCGAAGAGGAAACGCCTATATTCGCTCATACGAGTGAATGATATTCTTATAAGAAGCATATTGGCGCCTTAGAAACTATATGCCTCATGTTGGCTACCATAAACTTTGAATTGCAAAAGCAACATGAAAATATGGCAGTGTTCGATAATGATCAAAACCCTGAAGATGCTTTATCAAGAGAAATCTAGATAACATAGGTTTGAAATATCCAAAGCCTTTTTTAAAGGCAAGATAGTTGAGGGAGATCTTTAGGTTCCCATGTACATAAGATGATTGGGTATTTGGGAAATCTTAACATATTTGATTTTTCCTTCTGGAAAAGGTTATGATTGTTTTGATCATCCAATCGTTTCTATAGAGCTTCATCGAGTTTCTCTTAAACTTCAATATGAATGACATGGGAAAATATTTTTT